AGGGGTAAACAAAACGGATATATTTGTCTATTTGGTTACATTAACAAATCGGGCGTTACTTTTGATGCCGACTGTACATGAACTTCAACTTCGATTATGTTAACGTAAACGTACAAAAAAAATTAATGCACCAGCATATTTTACTATTTGCACAACAATAAAGTTATAAAAGCCTTTTTTATCGTTATTTTTTTTTCATGCATCTTACGTACGCTTCTTTTTATTTCATCGTTTAATGCATGGTCGTACGTGTTTACTCTTCTTATCTCATCTCATCATTTAATGTTAATGTACATGTATTTATGGCGACTGTCATTTTTCATGCATAAATCAATACAAACACAAACGGGAGTAAACGACGACTTCACACATATAAACAAAAAATACACTGCCATAATCACTAATAAACTCATACTCATGATTATACCAAATCGTCAAAATGATTACTACTGCAAAGCGTGTTCAGTTCACAATATTCATGAGTTTAGTAATAATTGTTACGATTGTAAACAACGAGTTCATAGCGATGAGTGTTCAGTTCACAATACTCATGATTGTAGTAAATATACTGCTTTGGATGTTTTATATCACAAACGAAATTATGTTGAATGGTCTAGTGAAATAAAGATATTAACAGTCTAATAAATGAATAACATTGATAACGATAAAGTATTCGAATGGATCCCTTTTGAAAGATTTACCGATGTTGAACATCTTGCAAAAGGTGGTCTTGGTTCAATTTATAAAGCATCCTGGTTGGACGGTCCAATTAAATCTAAGATTTGGGATCATGAAGAAAATAGATTTAAACGAAGTGGCGAATGCGACTTTGCGTTGAAATCATTACACAATTCAAAGCTAATTACATCCGTGTTTATAAACGAGGTAAGATGAACATCTTTTAAGTGTAAGCATCTTGCTTTTTTGTTTTTCAATCTAATGCACTTTTTCAAAATTAAATTCTGACTGCTCTACAGTGCAGTAATCGGATAAAATATTATGGAATAACTAAAAACCCAGCTACAAATGGATACTCGATAGTGATGGATTATGTAAAAGATGGCGATCTACGCAAATTAGGGATGTTATCAGTTCGAGTCGAATCAGTTCGAGTCGATTCAGTTAGGTTGAAAAATCCCGGTTGATGGTTGAACCGCGGTTATTGATTAATCACATGCGTGGAAAAATCGAGCATTCCATCACCAATAATTAACGCATACAAATTTATTTATATATCTTAATTAATTATGACAATAACGATAATATTCGTTAACGTTTAAAATAAAAAGTGAATGAAATCTATTTCTATTTGTATAGTATCTACCAATAACTGTTTCTATTAATAATTAATCTATTTTTATTCGTGTATGCCAGTATCTGTTTCCATTCAACTTTTCAAACACAGAGAAGCTTGAGCTGATATTGGAGAAAGGCGGTTTCGAACCTTGGTGAGAGTATGTGCAGCAACTGAAAATGCTTGCTCACATGGAACACTTGTGCCTTGAATAGCAAGATAACTTCGTGCTATTTTTGCTAATGTTGGAAATTGATCGATTATAATCACACAATGGCAAGACTAAATACGTAACTTGTTAACTCATTATCTAATGATGATGCATGTTGTAATTCTTGTGTAATAAGCGACTCAAAAAATGATCATACATTTTGTTTATTTGATGTGGTGGTAGTTGATTTTGGAACCAATACTGAAGAATAATGATAATGTTGTATATAATGTTGTATTAGTGTTTTAAGTTTTGTAATAGCTATCGCTATGTTGCTTTCTTCTCCATTTGTAAAAGTAAGTAATTTTGAGCGTGGATCCAGTATAGTAAAAATTGTTGTAGGATCATCAAAAGATTCCAATAATCAGCAAGTTTTTTGCGAATAGATTCAGCCATCATGCATTCTTCTTCTGTATGATTATTCATATAATTTTCGATATGTTGTATGAGTTCTTTTGAATGTTAAACAAATATCACTCATGGTTGGATAAGTGGATAATGATAATATTTTTGTTGCTTTAAACATTGGTTCCAATAATTCAATTATTGGATCAATATCATTCCATTCTGTGTCTTCAAAATATAATGATGCCAAGTTTTTATTACTTGCAACAAGAAAATTAAGCTCCTTTCGCATTATTTTGAATTTCTCGAGCATTTGATATGTACTATTCCAGCGTGTAATAACGTCAAGCTCAGGTTTGATATAGTTTTTCTTAATAACTTGGCAATAACTTCTAAGTATATCGCAAAGAATTGTTGAATTTCGAATTTTTGTTACAAATGTTCTAACTTTATTAATTATTCCTACACTTAATTCCATTCCATGAGTTATTGCAATATTTAAAACATGAGCAGCACAGTAATAGTGTTGAAACTCGCAATTATTCCATTCTATATCTAATTTATGTGTTATAAGTTTTTCACAAAGAATCATTTTTGAATCATTGTCAGTAGTAAGTGCTAATATTTTTTCATTTAGATTCATTTCATCAAGTAATTGAAGAAACTTTTCTTTTGTTCTAATTTCTGTATGGTTGTGTTCAAAATGAATTAAATCCAATAGATAATGTTGCATTTTCTAATTGTCATAAATATAATGAAGAGTCACACCAAGATATGCTTGATTCGAAACTGACGTCCAGATATCTGCAGTAAGTGAAACTTTTGTCTCCAATTTTTCTAATTTCTTTGCAATCTGTATTTGGAAATTACTAAAGAGATTTATAATATTTTTTTTGAACATATTGACATGATGGTACTTCATAACTTGGATCAAGAGTGTTGCAAAGTTTTTAAACCAATTACTTTTTACAATGGAAAATGGTAATTGATTGCCCAAACAAAATCAATAACTGCTTTTGTACATTCAGCTTTTCGATGGTCATTTTTTCCATATGGTTTATATAATTTTGTTCATTTACATGTATTACAGCGATAGTTATATGATCTTGATTTTGAAATGATCTATAAGAGAACAAGTTAATGTTTTTTTGCTGAATGTGTTTTGACATAGATTACAAACAATAGCTTATACTGTATTTTTTACTCATATAATTCTAAACAAGAGATGTTTGATTGTGCTGAATTTTATTTATAGTAGATTCACTTTCGGATATGGTATATTCAACTTCAGATATAGATGAACTTGCAAGCTCAGTTTCAAGATCATAATTATCTTCTTCGATACAATATTATTAAATTCTTCGATATTTTCTAAATCAAATACTTCGTTTTCAATAAAATTTGAGATATCCATAAAGAAATAGTTTGTATATAATACAAGACATTTTTCATTTTATAATATTATATACGCGTTTGTTTTCTAAATTAAAATTAGCCACAGTTAATAATTAATTAATGATTAATTAAATTGATTTAACCGAAGTTAAACTGCTTTAATCAGTTCGGTTGAGAACTGACGCTGAACCGGTTTATCTGTAATCAATAACATCCCTAAATAAAAGCCTTTAACACTTAAAAATATAATAATGATTACACAAAAATAACTTTCATAATAATATCACGATTTTACATGAATACAATTTCACGAAAACAATACCTTTTCTGGTACAAAGGATCTAACCGATTAAACAATATAGCGCGATTAAAGTGGGGGAAAAGGGGAAAGAGTTTTACAAGTAATAGTCTATTAGAAAGAATAATTGTATTCAAGTTTTGATTTTGCTTGGAGAATAATTGTATTCAATTTCAATTCTGTTCTTTATTAGTAATTCGTAGGCTATTCTTTTATACATTTTTATGTATTATGACAAAACTTGAGAAAAATGTATAATTAAATATATACCTCTGGTAAAAATTATCGATAGAGTGGATAAAGTTTTCAAGTTCCTCACAGTTGGTCTATTTTCTGGAATAGGATCCCAACATTTTTTAATAATAAATTTGCACCATCCGGGAATATTATCTGGTATCTTTGGTTGTACTCCTTTATATATGTCGCATACAAGATGTATATGACTTCTTTCACCAAATGGTCGTTCACCTGTGAAAACCTCGTACGCAATCATCTCAAAACTATAAATATCTGCAGCTTTAGTGTATTGTTTTCTATTTAGTACCTCTAGACTCATATAAGGAAGTACTCCGCAAAATTTTGATTAGTTTTATCTGTCTGCTGGTTTAGTAAGTCCAAACTCAGCGATTCGAGCAGTTTCAAGCTGTATTAATATATTTCCAGGGTGAAAGTCCCGATGCACAAATTCCTCACTGTGAATTTTATCCAACCCTCCAATAATACTCAATAAATATCCTAATTTTTTGTTCCAAGTCAATATTTTGTAGTTGGAAATCATATTTTTACGTAGATCGCCACCTTTTGTATCATCACCATCGTGTATTCATTTGTAGCTTGGTTTTTAGATAGTCCATAATATTTTATTCCATAATGAGTGCACTTTAGAGCAGTCTGAATCAAATTTTGAAAAAAGTTAATTATATTCAAAAACAAAATGCTTACATTTTAAATGTGTTCTTTTTACCTCGTTTATAAATTCGGATGTAATTTGCTTTGAATTGTGTAATGATTTCAACACAACGTTGGTTTTTCCCTTTTGTTTAAATCTATTTTCTTGATGATCCCACCTGTAAGGGTAACTAATGGTCCGTCCAATCAGGATGCTTTATAAATTGAACCAAACCTCCTTTTGCAAGATATTCAATATTTGTAAATCTTTCGAAAGGAATCCATTCGAAATCTCTATATTCACCAGCAATTCTGTCGCGCGCATTTATTAGGCTGTTGAAATCTTTATTTCCGCTAGACCATCCAACATAAATTTGTTTGTGATATAGAAAACCTCCCTCACAGTAACCATTGTCTTGACTATAGAAAACCTCCCTCACAGTAACCATTGTCTTGACAATTGATACATTTACTATAATCATGAATATTGTGAACTGAACACTCATCGCAATACTTATGGTATTTACAATGCCAGCATTCACTACAATCATGAGTATTCGAAACTTTAGATGTCATCTTTGAGTTTATTAGTGATTATGGCAAAAAAAGATTTATTTATTTGTGAAAGTCATTGTTCACTTCCGTTTGTGTTTGCATCGATTTAAATGACACAGGAATACATGAACTACGTACGTACCAGCACGCACAATAAACACGCATTAAACGATGAGAAGAACGCATAAAAAGAATATCTTTTTAATATAGTAAATGCATGTTATAGGTGTAATATGTCATTAATTTTTATGCATGCTAACATAAATTATAGTTTTATGAAGATATATATTACCTTTAAGTTTACTTAGCAACAAACTATGTAAGCTTTTCGTTGAAGGAATGTTAATAAAGTGTGATTTCTATCGTTATGATTAGAACGATAACTCAATTGCAAATTTAAATCGATTTTTATCGTTGAAAAATACAGACATTTAAAGGCTCTTTTCATACACTATACACACAAAGTGCATCAATTTATACTGTTAACACGAATGTATAGCGATAGCTCTTCATTGTTTATATCATCATTCAAATTTTAATCACTAAAGCTATTTTATAAAGTGAACTCTGTCCAATATTTCGAATATTGTATGCATAATTGTATTAAATGCTTTTACTTTCGAAATGATTGCTATTGCAGTTTACAGTATTCATAATTGTGGTGAATGTGATTGTCGAGTTCAGAATTGCTGCGATGAATGTTTTGAATATCACAAATGAATTTATAAAGCTGATTGTCTAACGAAAATAAGATCTCGATAGTCTAAAATAATGCATAACACTGGTCGAACAGGGTATGTCTCACCTGTGGTCTAAAGTACGGGTAAAAATGGGTATGAACATGCAACTTTTTGAAAAATTAACCCGCATTTTTATATTGAGTTTTGTCAGATAACCCAGATGTCAGGTTTATCACGTCAAAACTATCGTTATGGTGAATTATTAGGTTACATTAGGTATTTTATTGTTACACAACAATCTGAAGTCGATACGAGTACTTTACTAAGAAGTAAATACAAAATTTAATCCATGAATATGATAGAATAGGCGTTTTCTGAGCATATTCACGGATTTAATTTTGTATTTACTTCTTAGTAAAGATGTTTATACATTTTATAAAATACAAACGTTTGATGACTTTAGATTTTATGCACCATAGCCTTAGTAGCCTTTACACGATCGATAGTATATGCCTAGGTCAAAATTATACCCAAAATTGCACACTGAGCATTTTTTCTCTGTCACTCATCCTGAGTTTGCTTAATAAAAACGAGTTATCCCTTAAACCGTCTCGCGGGCAAATTTGCCCGCTAAACCTGACGGTTTAACATTAACGTTAAGGGATAAAAAAATTTGGATCGGCGAGCTAAAATGATTGGTTAATAAAGATTTTCACGTGGATTTATTGTTCTCCGATTGGCTATCACGATTTGTAAATCGTCTAAAATCTAGAGTTGGAAATGCAACTTTTGAAAAAAATTAACCCATATTGTTTTTTGTGCAAAAACAAGAGCAAAATTGTAATTTTGTAATTTTTTAGTATTATTTAGCCTGGTTTTTAGATCTGATAAAAAATTATTTGAATATATCCCTTTTAAAAGGTTCATCAATGTTGAATATTTTACAAAAGAGGGTTTGGAACAACTTATAAAGCATCATTGCACGATTAATCCATGACAAAAGGTGGGAAAATAAAGCAAATTTGAATTCAAATTAAATGGAAAACGTAAAGAAGTTTGTTAAAATCATTACACAATTCAAAGCAAATTACGTCGGAGTTTATAAACGAGGTAAAATTTCTAAAGCTGATTTTCAAAAATAAATTCAGGCTGTTCTAAAGCGTATTGCATTCCGTAGTTCATATTGAATAAACTATTAAAATCTAGCTACGGATGAATACTTGATAGTAAAAGATAGAGATGTTAAACGTTCGATCCGGTCCAAAGACCTTGGAGTTGAGTCCTGAATTTTGACATTCCATGGAGAATCATCCTGTGATAGTTATCCCGCTTATACGTAACTTCCCCAGCATCGCCAACAAAAATTCACGCTCACGTGATCACGGAAAATTAGCGTTAAAGGCTATTTTATCGTTTGGGTTAGGGTAAGGAGGATAGGTTTATACGTAAAAATTGCATTTCTGATACTTTTTATTAGTGCTTCAAGCCAGATTTTAACATCCGTTTTCTGTATTTTTCACATTTTTCTCTTTTTTCATTTTCTTGTGTCGAATTTGTTTTGCCGGTTTAAAAAATGCGCATCCTATTGATTTGTGCCACGCTTTTATTGGTTTGCGCTCACGTGAGTGTGAAGTTTTTTTGGGAAGTTGCTTATACGTAAGAATAGAAATACATGTAGAGGTAAAATACATGTACATGCACTCTCTAAGAGTGGTTCATTTCATTTGGTTTTTCGTACTCCGTTCTCAGCTGTCCCTTGAGTTCTATTAACTCTTTCTTCTCAACATTTTCTTCAACATTTTCTACAATAATTCATTCATTTCCTCCAAAATTTCTTTCTAGTATTTCCTTTTGTAGATTCTGACAGTAGATTTGTTGCCACGCAAAAGACTGGAAATCAGAAAAATTATTATGGTCATAAATAAGGGACATGTACTCCGGTGCGAAGGAATAATTTTTTATTGGTCATAAATTACGTGTTTCATCATCTTCGCTTTTTATAAAATGAATTTCTAAAAAAGCTTCGTTATAACGTGAGTTCACTATATCGCAGGGTCGTTATATCAAGAGTATCTTTGTATCGCAAGATTTTTATTCAATGCTAATAAAATATGACATCGAGTTTTGACTGTTAAACAATAATAGATAAATAAGACTTTTAGTGAGCATAATTTATTAACAGTGAATCGGAATTTATTGCATAAAAAAATTCGCCAAGTTCAATAAACATTGAAATTTCAGATTTGGTTTAATAGCTTGAAAAATAAAATAGAGTTTTACGTTATCACTTCGAAAAAATTAGAATTCAGTGAAGCTAATTGTGTCACCAATTCGATTTTAACGGCTATGATTTGCACAAAGATGGAAAAATAGCACATTTAGTCTGCAAAAAAGAAGATAATCCTCTTAAACGAACAGATTCAATTGGTTTGTTCTTATGTAATAATTGATTTTACCTTTAAATTATTATCATCGTACATGTATATATGCATACCAACAATTAAAAATTTCTTTCAGTAAGCATATTACTATACACAGTGCAACAATGACAGCAGATTAAGTAGTGATATCGATATCTCGATTACAAAAACGTTAATGCATAGAATGAGTGACCATGATGCAGGGTCTGACAATGTTTCACGCGAGCTTTCGGTCATTTGGATTTCATGATTTCTATACATAAACAACTGTCTTATAGATTCCTATTTGCTAATTACAAGAGTTTGAAAAAGATTTATACGTACATGTACTTACAGTAATATTAAAAATCACACGTGGGAAATCAAATAGAGTTTAGAGATGAAAAAGAATATTTAATAGAGATAAACGATAGATAAAACAAAAAACGATACTGTTTTACAAATATATTTGGTAACGAAACACATACATAAAAAAACATTGAATATGAATATATAAACAACAAACAGCATCTCAAAGAAAAATCAAATATAGTAACCTGTATGTTTTTATTTTAAATACAACTGCATAATTGAATTTTTTCTCTTTAGAATTACTAATAATACTTAGAATTATTTGAAATATTTAGAATTACTAATAATCTTTAAAATTTAAAACATGGGTAAATGTTGTTCAAAAGGTCATCTCGAAGATACTGGCAATGTTAATTTGCCAACATCGGCGGCACAATTAACACAAATTCGACGATCACATTCTTTAACTTTATTGCTGTCTGGTGGCAAATTACTTGCCTCTGTGAGCGAGAATCCAATACCAGCTAATAATGAAGAAATTGACCGATTACAAACTCTGCATTATTTATTTCAATCATTGTGGCATAGCGACTATTCATCTCCAATTGAAGATTCATTGAAATCGGGTGGATTACACGTTTTAGATGTTGGGTAAGATGTTGTTGCTATGGAGTGTAAATTTAAATTTTCTTGTTAGAATTTTTTTACTGGAATTAATTAGATGTGGACCGGGAACATGGATCCTCGAAATGGCAGTGAAATACAAATTATCCCATTTTACAGGCGTTGATGTAGCCACAATGTTTCCAAATGACATTAAACCACGCAATGTTACTTTTGTTGAAGGAAATCTGATAAAAGGATTAAATTTCGTGGATAATACTTTTGATTTTGTGTATATGCGATTTTCTGTTATGGCATATACCGATAAACAATGGGAAGAAATAGTGGTGAATGAATTAATTCGGATTACAAAGCCTGGAGGTTGGATCGAATTTGTAAGAATTTATGATTCTTATTCGAGATGTATATTTAAAGACTGATTTTGATTCAACTTTTTAGATGGAGACGGATATACGTTTTGAAAATCAGGGACCAGCTGCATCTCAACTACAGAATTACTGTAAGTATGGATGAAATGAAAAAACCTTTGATCTTTTCTTCATTGAAACTTTATTACAATTGGCGTATTTGGATATAGATAAAGAATTCTCGTATTCAAAAGGAATAAATAACGAAACTTCATTATCTACACACATAACACGATATTTCGAATCAACAAATCAAGTGAACGCCTTGAAAGTAAATCGAGAAGAACGAAAAGAGCCAATTGGAAAATGGGGAGGACGATTTGGTGAACTCGTATGTATTTTAAATTCTTTAATGTACTATAACTTATGATTATTCATCACCTTACTTTTATTTCTTTTAAGGTGATAAATAATTTTGTTACGTTTTATCGTCTTCTACGGCCTCACCTTGCTCCGATAATGGGCATAACAATCGACGAATACGAAGAAATTGTTGAAACATTTATCAAGGAAGTCGAAGAATACAAAACATATGCAAATATTTTTCGATGCTTTGCACAAAAGAAAGACAGTGAGGAGCCATTACAGACACAAAACAACCACAAATACAATCACCTTCGTCATCTCTGCCAATAATATCATTATCTGAATCATTAATGTCACAAGTTCTAATCAATGCAGAAATAGCAGCAACATCATTAACATCATCACACTTATGGTTACAGTCAGAGCAGTCAGAACAGTCGCGGTTTGGATCTGTGCAGTCGACAGAGCAATTTATAGAAGATATGCACGATTAGATTGATACCGATACAATTCAATCTCCAGAAAACGAGAGCACGCTAATATTACGTTCACATTATGTAATATTACACATGGAAATGTTTTTAATCGAGCATTTATAGACGAAGGTTATTATAATTTGTAAAAATACAAGAAATAGAATAATTTTATTATTTTTTGTACAGAATGATATTTAAATATTTTTTAATAAATAACAATGGTAAAAAAGTCGTGGCACGTCCGATACATCGTCAATATTGAAGCAACGGGCAAAGCGTCAGCTTGATGCCAATTGACTAATTATTATTTACACAGCCATTCGGCAAATATCGCCGTCAGCGTTTATTCTTTGTATAAGAGTGCCCAGTGGGAATTGAAATGTTATTAAATATCCAGCTTTAAAAGTAATGAAAACCATCAAATTTTCTCCCCATTTTGCATATTTTCAATGATATTCAAATACGTAGAAAAGAGTGCTGAAATAATCTCAATCTTCATTACTGATAGAAATATTAAAAAAAATAATGACCACTTTTTTCTTCATCAGTCTTGATAAATATCGATATTATTTTTTTGTGATCATTGTTATTAATAAAGATACTTATATCAAAGCGATATTTAGTCAAACAGAAAATGATTTTTAGATTCTTTAGCAAAATTTATTTAGCTTATTGGAAATATTTATAAAATAGAAATTTTTCATGAGCAAGTAGGTTCTAAATACAAACTATAGAATTTATAAATAATAGGCATTCTCAAAAATAAACTCCAAGTATTAAAGTATTATGTACATACATAAAATTTTTAAAACTAACAATAATAATAGAAATTAATCTTTTAATTTCAAAATTCTCATTCAAAATAATTTTTTAATTTTATTAACAAGTAAATTGTTTAAAAAAAGTGTGATAATAATAAGAGTTTTATATAGTTAACCCCCTTAATAATCACACAGTTAGATCCAATAGTAATTTTTTTCATGAATATATTTATAGCAAAGAATAACTATAAAGAGATTTGCTTATATAATATAAATAAATTTTATTTTATTTAAATAAAAAATATTTATTTTTCTGATTATAAAATCAAAAACTGATTTTTTGATTTAATTTAATTTTAAAATCAAAGAAATCAGCCAAATAAAAAATTTTAATCAAAACAAATTTAAAATTCTCGATTGAAAATTAAAATAATTCGAAAATTAAAAAAATTTGTTTTTCTAATTTTTCAATTTTAAAATTCAATAAATAAGAAAATACAAATTCTTTTAAAAATAAAAAATTGGTTTCTTTATATAATAACTTGAAAAAAAGTATTAATTTCAAGATATTATATAAAGTATTAAATTTATTAAAAATAAACCAAAATATATAAAAATATAATTTAATATTTTTATATAATATTTTAAACTAATAATTAAATACAAACAAATTTATTATTATTTAATTTATTATATAAAATATATTAATTTACTTTGTTATAGATTTTTAAATTTAAAATTTGAATAAATTAAAATTAATCGTTTTTAATTAATTTTAATTTTAAAATTTGAATATTTTTAATTTTATATTAAAATAAAATTAATAATAAAAAAACTTATAAAAAAATTTTCTAATATTAAATATATATTAATTTAAAAGTTTTTGTATTAATATTTATAATAAAATTATTATTAAAATAAATAATATATTTATAAAAATATTAATTATATTTTTATTAAATTTCTAATATTAAAAAGTAAATACATAATATTTTTTGCAAATATATTTTTTTAATATTATAATTAAATTTTATTATATTTATAATATAATAAACTTATATTTGAAAATTTATAAAAAAATATATAGTTGCAATTAGAAATAATGCAATGATATTAAAATTTATTAATTAAAAATAGTAAAATACAAATTTTTCTTTTAATTTAAAAGTTTTAATTTTATTAATTAATATTTTTTTATTTTATATTAAAATAAAGATAATATTATATATTTTAATATATATATATTCAAATTTTTTTGATTTAATCTAATAAAGTTATTTTAATTGCATATAAAGTCGATTATTATTTAATAATTAAAACATATAGTAAATAATTAATTTTATATGTAATTAAAAAAAGCTTTATCAGATTAAATCAAAAAAATCTTAAAAAAATATATATTTAAATATGTGATATTATCTTCATTTTAATATAAAAATAAAAACTATTAATTAGTAAAATTGAAAACTTTTATATAAAAAAAAATCTGCATTTTACTATTTTTAATTAATAAATTTTGATATTGTTATATTATTTTTAATTGTCATTATAAATTTAATAATTTATAAATATATAATTATATTATTTATATTATATATATCCCTACACTATATTATCAGAAAACATAGTAAAATTGATATTATTGCTTTATATAAAATTTATTATTTTATTAATAAATTTTATATAAAGCAATAATGTCAATTTTACTATGTTTTTTTTCAATTTCTGATAATATAGTATAGGAATATATATTTTAAAAATATATATTTAAATATATAAAAATTAGTTTTTATTAATTTACTTTTGAATAATTTTATTATTAAAAATCTTAATATTTAATTATTGAATTTGAGCAATTTATTATTATTAATTTGTTTTTAATAACAAAATTACTTAATTTTAATAATTAAATAATAACATATTTAAAAATTAATATAACAAAATCAAATTAATAAAATGAATTTATTTGAATTTATTAAATTATTATAGATATTAATTTTAAAATTAAAATTTTATAGTAATAATTAAATAATATCAAAATTTATTAATAAAATATATTAAAATATAAGTTTTTTTATATGAAAATTTTAAGTTTACTAATAAATATTTTTTATTTTATATTAAAATAAAAATAATATATAGTTTAATATATAATAATTAGAATTATATATATAAGTTTATTAGTAAAATATAATAAAAATTAAAATTTTTGTCTAATATAAAGATTTTATGTAACAATTTTCACATACCCTTGTAATTTCTTGTATCATGTTTATCCTTTTTCATGTTATAATTATAATTTTCTTGCATAACATATAGAATTTAACACAGATCTACATTTAATACTTCTTAATGTTTCACTAATTAGATTAGATGTGAAATGTAGATCATATTATTAATTTGGATACACATTGTTTTTAATTACTTTTATTTTTAT